CATACGCACACTTTAATAACTCACGATGTGTACAGTCTTTCTGGTGCGGTAAATTGACCGCGTCGATAGGGCCAACGGACTCACCTCGGATACATCCTCCACACTCCGTTCGTCGAACCATTCTTTTTAATGGACGGACCATCTGAATAACATGACGTGAGATCCCGCATGCTGGAATTTTGAAGCTCATTTGTCTAGGTGGTTAGTTGTTGCTCCCCCCAACCCTGACAGAGTTGGAGGAGCAACAACTAAATACCAATTCGGTTACGGTCATTGCGATCGTATTGACCAAGGTCCACTTCAGGACCGAGGTCTGAATAGAGCTTGCGAGTCGCAATCCAACCACACAGCGGGTACACCAAATGCCACCTGAAACTCATTTGTCTAGAATTATTTTCCATTAGGTTTATGGCCCATAAGAAAGCTGACATGGCCACCGTAACTTTTAACGTCTCTATCGTCGTTCAATTGCTAGAGATCCACCAACGCACCACCTTCGTCGTTGAACAAACTTTGTTTTTCGCATTGTCCGCTGCGATGGCATCGGAGATCAGGCCTGAGGGGCCATAGTTGGAAGTTGTTTTCGACTTCGGAAGGCATGTTTTACCTGCGCTACTCATTTCCGCCTTGATTTTTTCAAGTCAAGAATGCACCAACCTGTCACCAAGAAAGATGAGAGGATGCAACAACACAACGGGTTGTTTTTGTTCTGCATAACTTGCACGGCACTTCTTGAACGTATATTCTTTAAGGTGAAGAATTGCGATCACCGAGCAAGCGGCGATGAGTAGTCTAACTCCGTGGAACTCGGTTGGCACAGAGCTCAGGGGCCGTGTCCAATATCGAATACGCTTTTGGCTTAGGTCTGTTAACAAAGTGTAAAAATGGTACTTAGGCAACCAGTCGACTCAAGCTCGTAACCGAGCGAATGACGGAGTTTCACTAATTCTGGCAACTCTTACTTTAAGCTACCGGGAACGTAGATGCCGATGATGCTCCATTATGGTATTGCGGCAAATTCATTGCTGCTGGGGATCATACGCGTTCGCAGACCAGAAAAGACTTCAGCAGTTTCATCTGTCTCGAGCATGATGGGCACGGGAAGCACAGTGCGCAACACCGTGGCATCCGTCCCTAATTAAACTAAGAAATCATACCACTCCGAAACGGTGGATTCCATTTCAACCTACAACTTACCGACGATTATACTTTTCAACAAATCCGAATTGAATTTAGATGAGATGAATATTAAACTGTTGGACAACCTGAAAAAGCTAGAGTTTAGTTACCAGCTAGTGATGTTCAAATTTGAACTAACTAGCGTGATGTACGTTGCGTGCCACCATAACTCGCTCTGCTACGTCGATTCATAACTTCGGAAAATGCTACTGTTAGGATAGGAAGTAGCGGCGGTTCTATTAGTCATTGTCGAGGTTCTTATTATTGATTTTCCTCGGAGTTCATTCCATCGAAAGAAACACAGTGTAGGCGGGTTGACAAAAATCTATCTTCTGATACTCAAGTGAGTTAAACGTTCAAAAGCATTCGATAATGCAGTTAGCAAACTAACATCAAGGCTGCGCTGCTAAAGCTGTGGAAAAAACCAGCTAACACTTAGACCTAATGCGGAGGGCGTTTGGCCGGTTTGATCCCACCATCTTTCGCAAATGCTCAATGCTTACGTGAGGCCACATGTGGAGTACACCACTCCAAGTATGGCACCCTTTGGGGAAAACATGACCTCATTACTCGTGTGAATGCACAACGGAGGGGGAATAAAATTGTTAAGGGCTTGCTCCACCTTCATTGCCAGTTTAGACTAAATACCCTAGGAGTTTTTATTGGACAATGTCGTCTTCTGAGAGGTGATCTCACATTGGAGTATCAAATGCTCATCGATTCTAACTAGCCATGCCGATCCTAATTGAAACTCAGTCACAACCCCTCACTGAGAGGCCACAATTTCAAGTTAGCCACATGGCCGGTTGGAATGCCATCGGAGCGTTTTCTGCATTCGTGTATCCCAGCCGTGAAACTTACCTCTGTATTCTGTCATCTCCACTCCTACGTTAGTGGAATTGAAAATCCGACTTGGCGATGCATTACACCACTTGCATTACCTGATTTAACCCAATTCGCTGGGACACGGTACGAATTAACCAAACTGCGTTCACGTAAAATTTACCTCAAATCAACCGCTACGCGTTTTCTTCTTGATAACTTAATTCCTGGTCTCACTTTAGCTACGAACACTGCTAAGCATATTGATTTTTTATCCGTGATAAGTCCATTGTTAAAATGTCATCGGGCAACTACGCTGGACGGCGTATAACACGTCTCGTTTCAAACACAACAGACGATTAGAATGTGACAAATGTTGCATTAAATATTTCAACCATCTAGCGTATGATGCTGGACAGTGTCTGAACTTAATTAGTTAGGAAGCCAGACCAACAAGGTTTGTTACCGATCCCATTTAATCGTATCCTCACATTTGGACTCAGTTGGACTAACGAAAGACTATCGTGTTTGGGTAACCAGCCGTTTCTCTTTGCGCTATCATGGTAATTTCGGATTCACAGCTAGCTGTTTCTGCACTCACAGCAGTGACCGTTCTCGATCGACGACAATAGTTTCTAGGAACCAGAGAATGTTGGGCCACTGATTGCGCATCGGTACGGTGAATGACTCATCTTGGTTGATTTGGTGGCCGGTGCTCAGCAAATGCATTGTGATTGCTGAGGTAGCTAGATTCCCAGTGTCACCGATCCCATCCGGCTGCGTAATAACTTGGGAATGTGGTCATTGATTCTGACATCTGAACTTCGGACAGTGAGCTAGCCATGTCTCCAGCGATGGGCATGTACCCTCATTGTCGGAGTCTGGATGGAACATATAACTAGTAATCTTGTTGACAATGAGACTTCGTTAAGCTAACCGAGAGGTGTCTGATTGATTGCATCATCGATGCTGCCTGATATATCCATCCTGAGTAAACGTTTCCGTAGTAGATTAGGCGGAGTGATTAGGTATAACACTAGTGAGCTAGGTTTCGATCTCATTGGCAACCAGGACCTCTAAGTGGTCGACCAGCTTACAATTTCTCTGTGCTTAGTCTGTAGTTGTGCTTTTTACCGACTACCACATACCGCCAGAGATATTTACATGTGTAGTGGATCACCGTCTAGATGCTTTCACGAAGATCGTTTCGTTATGGTCTCGCAACTCCGGGTCTCTCTGGGTAACTAATACGAAGCGAATCAGCAAGAGCCAGTCGTCGATGTACCGGTATACACTCACATTGCTTTCGGTGAGAACAAAGCGACAGTCCTGGAACGTGTGTTCACTAAAAGGAATTCACGTTTGTCCCTTTGGAGTACCGATTTTTCTCAGTATCTGTTACGTGGAGTATACAAGGAGAGACACCGAGTGGCTCATTTCAGCATGGATTGCGAGAATTCAGTTCCCCACATTTAGTTGCTCTTCATCACCATCAGGTTCCCCTTTACAAGCTTCATGGCGTTGGGACGTTTGATAGGTAACCATCTACTTCAGTGTCATCTGGTGTGCCAGAGCTTCCTTCACACGATGGTCAAGGGGCATGAAATTACGATTTAGAACAATAGCGATTCATCCGCGAAACCCTTTCCTTGGATAATGTTGTGGCGCGATCGCTCAAAAGGTTACCACTCTCGCCAAATTATAGAGGATGCGGCCCGAGAATTTGAAAACTCGTGGTCGAATCCGAGCAAGCAGCGACCGTTGTGTTAAAGTTGGCGCAAAAATCGAAAAAACTTTCCATCAGAACTTCGGTTAAGGACTGCAGATGCTCCGCAAAGTCTAGTTACGAGATCATCTGAAAAAACCGTCGTACCGGCGATGATTGCTCCTTTAACCGATACTGATGTAGATCTAGGTGAGGGTTGGGAAGCGTCTTGGCCAGACCAATGTACGGAAGTAGTATCAGTGGCTCATCAAAAAACAAACAATGGCCAGTCTCACATCAGTCGGCACTCCCACACACCTGACTTTCTTGATCCTCTGTGGTCTACTAGAGATTGATAAACTAGCCTGCTTATACACGAACGCTCAGGGCCTCTTCAATAAGCTGGCCGAACTGAAAAATCGTCAAGTTTCCAGAAATATCATCGGTATCACGGAGACGTTGTTACACACTGAAATAACGGAGGCTGGAATTTCGCTAACTGGCATGCCACTCATTCGGAACGACAGACTGACAAAAGGAGGCGTAATCCTGTATTACTGAAGCGACTTACAGTGTGAGGTCATGGAGGATTCAGATTCGCTTTGGTGCCACCTGCAGCTAAGAGGCAGAGACACTTGGTTTACAGCCTTGGTGTACCGTCCTTCTCCCCCCCCCAACTCTATATCTGAAACGGACTACCAAATTGCGACTTCCTTACGGCGAACTCTAAAAGGAAGGTCCACTCAAATTTTGACCATAGTGGTTTCAGTGCGCATTGTTTAGAAACCCCTACCACGAGCGGAGAACAATTTGAAGCCGATCTGCGGGAGCTCGTAACCAGTGTTAGGCTTTATAATCATGTCATTTCGCACACTCGGTTCAGAACAGGTAATAGGCCATCTGTGCTTACCAACAAAGAACATATGATTGATGCGTTGGTTGTAGACTGCCCGTTAGGTCGCAGCGATCATGCGGTTATCAGTTTCATCTGTTATGCAGAATACCGATAGCGGACAATGAGACGGCGCGAACCATCACATGCTACGATTAGCCCAGTTTGTTAGTGCAACATCCTGGTCGTTCCTCGCCGAAGACTCCCCGGATGTCGCTTGGCTCGAGTTCGTAAACAAATTCAATTGGCTGGTTACCGATGCTTCAGAGACAAAAGTTTGCAGACGGTCTGTTACAGTTACTTACGTAAGGAGCAGAACTCGAGAATTGCTGGCAGTACGCAACACAGCATACACCAGAAAACTGGGATAACTAGGTAGCCCAACGAAACCACTGCACACAAATGCTCAGAGAGGACAAGGCCGCGTATCAGCAGAACATGGCAAAAGCGTTCAGCGCCAATCATAAACTGCTGTATAAGCACGTCAATGGTCTACGGAAGGTGAGGCAAGGAGTTCCGCCACTCACGACGGCTGATAACCCAACACGAACGGCTACCAAAGCAGCAAACGCGCTGCGGATGCAATATGCCCAACACCTTCCAGAGGGTATTACCATCAGGAGATTCTCTAGCTTTTGTCGCATCTCCGGCGGGACTCACTCACATCTCCTTTACCCCAGAAGATGTCTTGCAGAAGCTGACCACTCTACGCAAGCACAAATTTTCGGGTATCGATACCATTCGTCCAGAGGCAGTGGGAGCAGCAGCAAGTCAACTGGCAGAGCCATTGGCTCAGTTCTTCCAGTGCTACTTAGACTAGAACCAAGCTCCTGCCATGTGGAAGCTTAGAATATTAACACCCATTCACAAAGGTGGAAGCAGAACCGAGGCTTCAAACTGCCGCCCAGTTTCCATTCTCCCTATACTGTTTAAGGTGTTGGAATTCATCGTAGCCGATGCGCTGGTGGGATATTTGGAAAACAGTACGGCTTCCGTCGAAATCGATCGTGCACAACGAATTTGTTAATAGTACGGAGTAGCTGGACCCAGTCAGCTGACGCCGGAGAGGATATTGATGTGATCTACCTGGATTTCTCGAAAGCATTCGACCGTCTAGATCATCGGATACTCCTTTCCAAGCTACATCGTTATGGGATCGGTGACCCTCTTCTAAGCTGCCTCGCCAATTATCTCCTTCAGTGACAATTGGTGGTCAGAGTTCGAAACTCTTCTGACCCCATACAAGTTGAGTGTGGCGTACCTCAAGGCTCGGTGCTAGTTCGCTGATTGTTTTTGGTATTTATCAATGATCTCACACAGGTTATTTCATCTAACATCCTGCTGTTTGCCGATGACGTCAATATTTGGTGTAAGATTCAGGGGAATACTGACCAGTAACTGCTTCAGAGTGATGTAGATAAGGTACATCAACAGTCCATCCAAAATTCGCTGCAATTCAGTTTGAGTAAATGCAAGGTGCTACGACACCAGAGTAACCACTGTAACAGGTTAGGAACGCATGTGCTGCATCGAGCTGCCACGGAAGATGATGTGGACGTACTGGTTCAGGATGATCTGGGTTGTTCAAGGCAGTCCGCGAAAGCCTCCAAAACTGGTAACCAAAATGTGGGCCTGTCACGACGGGCGTTCGGACAAATAGATCGCTCTATGTTCCGGCAGATGCTTAGTGAGTATGTTCATCCTCATGTCGAATATACAATTAAAGCTTGGCACCCATGGCTAATACACGACCTTAGTGAGTTGACGCAGCTCCAATGTCGAGCATCAAAATACGTTATTGGAATGCACCATCTTCCATACGAGGAGGGGCTGGAACAATTGGGAGTATTCAGCGGACGTCACCATCATCATCATTATACACGTTAGCTAGAGGTGGAAAAGACCGTAGCTATAGTGCCGCAATACAAAATAAAAGAAAAAATGCAACAGAGGCACGCCGGCTGACGCACCAGTAACGGATGAGCATCGTTCCGGAGAGCTAACAGCCTGCTGTTGTACCGCAAAGAAGTCATATTATGCCTAGTAATTGAGATCGTGCTTGGAAAGTGAGGCTAAGCGGAGGTGAGGGACAAAGAAACTCATAGAACAAACGCCATTGAGATGGGCTCTTAAGCCATGTCAACAATTGTGTCCAGCCAAATGTGTTCATCGTCCTTCGGTCCCCAACCAGGGTGCCGAGAGTATCAAACCAAGGCGAAGATTGAAGAAAGGGCCTTCATTACTCGATCAAGTCATCGATTGGCCACCCCTCCTCTTCCACCCACACCCCCGACGTGCAAACAAAGCAGGTCGAGGGATTCGGTGGGCTAGTATGCGCGACACGTAGCCCAGCCATCGGAGCCTGGTGCGTGAAATAGCGGTGTTGAGCGGTTCGTTTATTCTTCTGCATCATAAACAAGGCGTCAAACATGCTCATTGCACACACGGTTAAAAGGTAGTACCGTCAAGCACTTTACACACGCTGCCGAGACACGTAACCCCAGCAAGCAGAAGGCGTCTGAACAGCAGGAAGTTTATCAATCAATTGAGGAAGGTACAAGACTCATGGAAACGCGTTGCGAAACCGGGGGCGTGTCAGATGATTGGCTGGCTGATGTGGGTGGTAACCAATCGGCACACAGCTGAAGTAAACGGATCGAAGTCATTCGCGTACGTGACATTCACTCATCTCTTGAAATGTTTATACTCCGGGAACAAAACGGTCAACGGGTTTATGCGTACGCTGAGATCCACGAAGCGATGGTGCATCTGACGATTATACAGAATCCTGGGGGGTTACTTCCGTTTCTGATTGAACCGAAGCTGATTCACCCAGATGTTCATCTGCTGTTGTCCCAACACAACGTGAGCGTATTTGGTCGGTGTGTCGCCGTACTATCCGACCATTTAATTCAAAATCTGCTTGGGTACAGTCGCCTTTAATTACAGTTGCGGGTTACCAGCAGCGCGCATGTGGAAGTCGTGTGTATACGGAATCACCCGGCTGCCAACTAGAGTCATGGTCATCTTGCGATGCGGCAGCCTTGTCTTGTTTCTTCTCCATTTGTGCTCTATGGTTTGGAAACAGAAGATCCAGTCTGGTACGGAGTATTCGGCCAAACAACATCTCCGCAGGTGATTTGCCGGTCGCTTCCGTTGGCGTTATCCTGTAAGCAAACCACTAACGACCTAACCTCGTCCGAACGGTTCCTGGTTATTTTTTCAAGGGCCCCTTTTAATTGTCTGCACTGCCCTTTCTGCCAGCCCAGTAGAAACAGGATGATATGGAGCTGTACGGACGTGCTGGACACCATTGCTATTCATGAAGATTTCAAATTCTTTGATAGTGGAACATGGCCCATTGCCTGTGTATCCCAAATATGGCAAATGATGACCGCATTTTTGAGATAGTTGTCTCCGTTGTAGGGTAGGAAACGGGATAAACAGCTATCCATTTTCAATGAGTGTCAATTAGCAGCAGGAAAAATGCACCATTAATGGGTCCATAGTAGTCCGCATGGATGCGTTGCCATGGCTGTTCAGGCCAACGCCAATGGTGTACCGGACCGGGAGGTTTATTTGACTGATACTGCTGACGCAAACCACATGTTTTTAGATAGTTCGCTATTTCTGAATCTAGGCCAGGCCACCAGCACTAACCGCGCACCAAGGCTTGCATTCGGGCTACGCCTGGATGTGCGTTGTGGAGTTCGTTTAGAATGAACGGTCGTGCCTTTAGCAGTGGAATCAGGCGGGATCCCCAAATCAAACATCCATCGTGTAGGATCAGTTCATTTTTCCGTTGTCCGTAAGACTTAAAATCACTGGAAACTGTAGTAGGACAGCTGGTTTTTGTAAATCGTACCATAAAAGAGCGTTGGGTCACGATCGGTCCAGTGAAGTATGGTGTCACCTGTCAATGGAGTGGTGTCGAGGTGTTGCACTAGATATACTAGCCCTATTGGTTCCTCCAGTGTTTCCTCTGAGGTCGCATGTGTTAACCTGCTTACTGCATCCGCTGTATGATTGTTCAACCCAGGAATATAGGAGATTCGATATTTATATGCACTTAATGCCCAGCGTTGCATTCTCGGTGAAAACTTCTGCTCGATTCCCTTTGACTCACACAGCAGGGATATCAGTGGTTTATGGTCAATTTTTATTTCGAAATGGTTGCCCCCAAATGTATTGATGAAACCTCTTGACGCTAAACATAACATAGGGCTTCTTTATCCAACTGGAAATAATACTTTTCGGCGGGTTGTAAAGTTCGTGAGGCAAACGCAACCAGGTGAATGAAACCATTCGACATTTTGTGGCATAGAACTGCCCCGACTCCGTATGGAGAGGCGTCCCGCTGTAAGATTAACGGTTTTTCACTATCGTAATCCACCAAAACAGAAAGCAAGACACTTCTTTACAAAAGCAAAAGCAGATTGATGCTCGCTCTTCCACATCCATGGGGTATTGGGTAGAAGTTTGTTCAGTGGGGAAAGAATGGTTGGGGCATCCGGTAGGAAACGACGGTAGTGCGATAACATTCCTAGGAATGATCGCAGTTCATCACTATTCTTAGGTTGTGCATGCACAATAGGCACTATTTTATCTTGCAGGACATGCAACCCGGTTTTGTCCAGTTTGTAACCGAGGTAACAAACAGTATCGGATAAGAAATCACATTTGGACTTCTTTAATTTCAATTCACACTCTTCGGGATGCTCGAGACCAGTTCGCAATGTGCTTAGATGATCAGCGTCATTGCTGCCAGTAACAAGGATATCAAGTATGCACAGGTGGACGGTATATTAACTATATTAGCCACGATCATTTGGAAAATGCTGGTTACTGAATTTATTCCAAACGCGAGATGCGTGTACTAGAACAGTCCTAGGTGGGTAGTTATTGTAGTCAGTTCCTGTGACTCATCGGCAAGTTCGATCTGAGAGTATGCATGACTGATCCAGCTTGGAAAACTTTTGGCCGCCGACTAAAGTCGCGTACAAGTCTTCAATACTTGGTAGGGGGCATTTTTCCACTTTCGATGCTTGGTTGATTATCAATTTGTAGGCTCCACAAATACGGACGGAGTCGTCAGGTTTGAGTACAGGTACCTTTGGAGTGCCCCAATCTGAATGCTGCACCGGAAATATGGCGCCTGACTGCAGACGTATATCTGCCTCAACTTTAGGGTGTATTGCATAAGATAATGATCTAGCTTGGTAAAATTTTGACTCGGCGTCCTCTCGGAGTTTGATAGAAGCCTTGAAACGGCACATGCTTCCCAACTTTTTAAAATAACAATGAGAACTGATTCAATAATCCATTCAAACTGCCGTCTTCTACAGTGTGTTGGTTGGGTTGCATGGTCTCGGAATAGAACTGTATCCAGTCTCGACCCATGAGGTTCGGTTTGTTCCCATGTACAACGATGAACAGTAGGGTGAATTCTAGCTCCCCGTGCCTGGTTTTAACGAAACATCTGCCTAACACCTGCATTGGATCACCAGTGTACGTCTGTAATCTCGGGTTGCACGAGTGTAAAGGTGGTAGCTTTTTCATTGAATTGCGGTTTACAATGTGACCGCCGCCCCAGTATCTAGCCCATGTCAGTCGGTTCATCCTCTATCGTCAAACGTATGGTGTAAGGAGGACAGATATGAGCCAAACTGCGAATGCACCGGTAGTTAAACATAACTAGCCTCCTTCTGTTTGCTGATCTAATGGGCCAGGTTTCACAACCGTACAGTAAGGTCGAACGTACCGCTGCATTGTACACTCTGCCCTTCAGGGAGTGATGTCGCGTCGGCGCCATAGGTGGCGAAGGTTAGCAAAAGCGCATCGTG